ATTTTTTTTATATCTTTCCTTTATTTTTATTTCTGCAATGAATCTTAATCTTGTAATTAGATCATTTTCTATCAAGGGGATTGACTTGAGATGCTATTAAGTTATAATAAGAACATAAATACAAATTATCGATCATGAAATTGGCATAATCATGAATAGCGCATAACGACTAATTTCATTATAGGGTTAATAATTCTATCCTACTCTTGGTTGGTAAATTAGACTCAATCATGTGACCTCATGGTTGAAATGTAGTACATAAACAAATTGAGCTACAAGCTCCAAAGTCTAACCCGAGTTTATTAGTATGTAGTCTATCTCTTTGGGATCTACCTAATTTTAGGCAACATAAGTGGCACAATAGGGCAACCTTAAGGATGTAATCAATATACTGCGCATGAACACCGGCTTCAATTGTAGCTATGGATAGTTTACTATTATTCTAGTTATAATATTAATGTAACATCAATTGTAATATTGATGACCTCCAATATAGATAGGATAAAAAATATAAAAATTTCCTAAGAAATGGAAAATGGTTGCATGGTTAGATAGTGGTAAGTAGGACCCAAATTGCATTAACTAAAGAGGCAAACAAGAAGCAACTTGGCTTGTAAAAAAAGGTTGTGGGAACATCAAAATTATGAGAAGGAAAGGATAAATGACACAAGCAATCCTTTCTAATTATTCTTTTTTTTTTCTTTTTTTTTTTGGGGGGGGGGGAACTGAGGGTGTCCCCAACCCTTTGGGTCAAGACTAATCCCTGAGGGTGCGACGTGAGCCCACAACCCGCAACACCAGGTAAGTCTGGGTAAACCCAAGCGGGGCGCCCCAAAGGGGGAGTGAGGAATGGGCCCAGGACCTCCCACTTGGCGAGAGACCCAAGAACCATTGGTCTTCCCCTTCGGGGTTAGTCCTTTCTAATTTATACTTTTAACTTTATATTAAACACATCATTATCAAAGTGCGTTTAATATATCAGGGAGCAACGAAAAATAATTTGTTATTGTTTAAGGAAAAGTGGTGTAGAATGGGAAATAAATAGATATGTTCACTCACAAGCACTAGCTGTAAATCTTTGTATGTTTATAATGACTTATCATTAAACTAGAGGATACAGTAGGCCCCTTATAACTAATAACCATGGTTAAAATTTGATCTTATTAATTATTGGTAAATATTATATATATATATATATATATATATATATATATATATATATGTAATCACTATATTTAATTGTCAAAAATATTTATTTTCATAACTTACTTGTGGATACATTACATATTTCCAGGCAAACTTCTTCAAGGTACAAATGTATTAGGATAGCCTTCCAAAAAATATTTTAAAATTTTAATATAAAAAAAAAAGATTTTAGGCTAGCCTATAAACAAGAGTATGTTAGCTTGACCAACCAAAATATATATATATTGTAAAGACCCAAACTAAATTCATTGGCATTCGTGCCAATTCTATGAATTTCCTAGAAAATTTGTTATTTTAATACATTATTCCTATGAAAATTAATGTTGGATACCCAGAAGTAGAAAATCTATTTATTCCATTCATTTTAGCATGTTTTTAAAATTTGATGGCATGAAATCGAAGCTATTTAAAAAGTAGCAAAATATTTTATTTTTTTTAAAATAAAAAATCGGTGTAGGGCCGATCAATCGACACACCAGCGCCGATTGATCGTCGGCTGCGCTGATAGATCGGCCACTAGTGGCCGATCAATCGCCTGAGCGGTGTTTTTTCAGGAAATTGCTAATTTCAACTTTTTAAGTTCTCTTAGATCTCAAACCCTATATATGCACCTTAGTTCGTGAGTTTAGGGTTCCAATAACCTCCTAAACCTAAAAGAGAGAAAAAATAGAACATTCTAAGAGATCTAAAGGGAGAAACCTAGAAACTTCAAGGATTCAATCAAAGAAGAAGGATAAGGGTTTGAAGATCTATATCAAGCAGATTTGGGCGTAAGCGTAAGATCGTAGGGAAGCGATCAAGAGGTAAATAATAATCTCTAATTCTCAATTTCTTGAATATTAATCTAAATGAAGTGTTAAAATGATAGATCTAAGTAAGGACTTGAATATAAATGATGTCTATTAATTTCTATCATCATCTGTATATTATTTTTCAAGAGTTATTAAAGTAGGATGTGAATAACCTTGTAAATTATGAATTGTGCTCGAATAAGAGGATTGGGTATTAATCTGGAGTTATGAGAATGTATGTGAAGGAAGTGATGGATTTTCTAGAGTTGAAATTGAATGTATGGAATATCTTAATGACATAAGGTATCCACATGTTTTTCCACACTCTGACTAAAGTTGAACTATCAAATGTATACATGTTAATGTTTAAGATATTGTTTATTATGGTTTGTTATATACGCGATGTAATTTGTTACTTAGTCAATAATTTCATTGTTTGCAAGTTCTGGATTTGACATTTGTGCACCCGAATCGTGGAAAGAGGAAGAATATATAGAAGAGTCAACATGTGATTATCCTGAAGAAGAATGAGATCTTGATCGATGGCCAAATTATTGAGTTTTAAATTAGTAGTGGTAGTTGAATTATAAAGGAATTGTAGTTGAAGATTACTCTGAATTTCTGTTTAGTTGGTTTGATGGTTAAGGATCACGAGAGATGATTCAATTTATTTATATTCAGTTGATTATAAATTTTTAATTGGAGTTTGTTTGGGGCATTAAATGTTAGTTAATTGAAGAAATTTTTAAGTTCAGAATTTAGTATGCTTTTATTGCTACTAACAGAATTATATGATAAGTAAGTCATGTATCAAAGTCTTACATTCTCCTAGGTGAGATTTTGGAGCGCGACATATATATTAATGAATGTTCTTGCAATCCAAGTTGTTGTTTCATGTTGTTCAAGAATTTCTTCATTATGAATGTTGCATCAAAGGTTTTCCTTTCAGTGTTTGAGTTATTGTGTTCAAAACCCTAGCTCGGGGAAGAAAGAAAAAAGAAAAAAGATGAGTAGTCCCTCAATTTGAGAAAAAGTGAGCTTCTAATCTATATCTTATACTGGATCAAAATATATTTGACATTCTCTAATGGTGCATAACAAAACAAGTAGTCACCTAAAAAAACCAAGATATTTTATGTGCAGTCAGGCCGGAACCAAGGGGTGGCCTGGGGAATGTGTTTACATGGTATGGCATGGCCATGGAGGTGGATGGAGATCCAATCACAACCAATTGCAATTGAACTCGGGGAGAGTTCAATCGCACCCACATGCCAACACATGTCCCTTTAAACCCCTATTAACTGTGGTTAAGATTCACTAACCTTTGGGGTTCAACAATATAACTTTAGTTTTTGAAAAAAATATTTAAAAAATATTAACCCTAAGGGTTAAAAATCATTAATTAGAGTGTAAATTTTTTTAAATATTTTTCTACAAACTAAGGTTATATTGTTGAACCTAAAGGGTTAGTAAATCTTAACCATGGTTAATAGGGTTAAAAGGGACACATGTCCCGAGTTCAATCCCAATTGGCTATGATTCAATCTCAGGTGGTGTCCCTCAGCTTTTGAATTCTTATAAAATTGATAGAAATTAATGGTCAAATAATCATTTTTTCAAATAATAGTTTGGAGAATTGGAAATTGATAGACTCAGCTTTGTATTCTCCAAACACTATTATTTGAAAAATATGATGATTTGACCATTAATTTCTGCATAATCAATTTTATTAGAATTGATTTTTGGCTAATAAAATCAAATCCAAACACCACCTTATAATTTAGAATCCTCTCCTATTATAACTAGACTATTTAGAGTTAGTTACAACCCATAGGTCAACACATGTCTCTTTTTGTACCTCTTGATTGTGATTAAGATTTACTAGTTAGTCTTAGGGTTAAACCACCTAACCTTGATTTTTAGAAGAAAAAAATTTAACTCTAAAGGTTAAAGTTGTTAATTAGAGTTAAAAAAGAGTTTTGTATTGTAATCGAATTCCAAGAAATTTGGTTATTACAGTAATCAGTCATGGGGTAGCGGTCCCATTTGATTTTCATAAAAAAAGAATTTAAAACTATTTTGTTTAATTATTTAATAAAGAATAGTCATTGGATAGGTGGAAGCTGCTCAACTTTTCAAAAAAATTATATTATATTATTTGATTGGGCAAGGGAATAACTGCTCCCCTAAATAAGGAGAAACAATGTGTATGATATGTACAAAATATATGGATGAAGTGACCCACAGACTTAGTCATCAAAATTTTTTCTGGGGGCAGAGTCCTCAAACCCCGTCCCTTAAACCAAATGTGCCTCCCTCCAGTTAATTCCTGGCTCCGCCCCTATGTGCAGTACCTACGAGACCTGCATACATCATATACATTTATATAAGCGGTATAAAATTATATTATTATATTCTTAATTTAATAATACACAAATATAGTCTAATTTTTCACATTTCCTTTCAAAAAGAAATTAAGAAGTGATTGTTTTAGAGTCTTTTAGACCCAATATGGAATTTTAACCCACTTCTATAGTCTAAACCCTTAAGTTATTTTTTTTTCTTTTTTTAAAAACCAAATTTAAATTGTTTAAATTTTATAATTAGTCGTATCTTACCCATAGTTAAAAGAGAGTTAAAAATAACATGTATTGACTAGTGGATGTGATTGAACTGCTTCCAGGTTTAATCACATTTGAATATTGTTTGGATTTACTTTGACTGGGTAGAGGAAATTTTTTTTTTTTTTTGGTGACCCGGGTTGTCCCCAACCCTTCGGTTCAGGACTAGATCCTAAATGTGACAAAAGTCTACAATCCCCTCCCCAAAGAAAGTCTGAAAAATCCAGGCGGGATTGGCCACAAAGGGGGAGTGGGAAATGGAACTCAAAACTTCCCGCCTAGCAAAACCAGGAACCACTGGTCCACCCGTTTGGGGTTACTCTCTGAACTAAGCCTCTTGCTGACGAATGCTTCCTTTCTCTTCTCTGAAGTCTACAACAAGTGGGAGAGGCATGATTCGAACCTACATAGAAAAACTTCAACAAATTTACAGTCTACCGCTTTTGACCACTCAGCCACTCTCCCCTTCCCGGACTGAGGCCCCCCTCAATGGGTTCTAAGAAGGAAGGAGACGTTCCTTCTTATTGAATTTTTTGAAGGGAACTAATACTATTAGCTTAGCTAGCATTCCGGGAGAATCTAGTCATTTAGTCGGTTCATAACAATCTCTGTAAAGCAAAAGTCTCTCACACCCTTTTAACTTTGGTTAAAAAGTTTAATCACAGTAATTAAATTTTTTATATTGCTTTTTAAATAATAAAATTAAATTCTCTAACTTTAAATCTAATAAATCTTAACTACAATTAAAGAAAATTAAAAAAGACGCGTGGCAAATTGAAGTGACAAAGCCTCAGAATTTTTCTCAGCTCCAGCCCAAATAAATCCTAAATGAATAGAAAGTTTTCCAACGTCTGAGACTCCAAAGCAACCAGCGCATATCCCATAAAGAAAAGACAAAATAAAAAAACTTATGGGGGGCCTATGAGTTTAGAAATTTTATTGACCCTTTGAAGGAAAGTAAAGCACATTGGATTATTAGTGATGGTACGAATAGACCAGCACTGACAGGAAGTGGGACCACCGTTTTATCTTGCCGACTTAGATATCTGACGTCCCACGTCAAACCTTCATTTTCACATCACCATAACGGGCTATTTTTGAAGCCCACATCGTTTACAGCCTTTCTCTGATGTTGATGTGGCCTCTTACAATTGTACGGAAGTCTTAAAGTAAATGGGCCCACAGCCCAATTAGGGGTGGAAGAAATCCTCTAGCCGAACATACTATGTCGGTATGTCCCATTCATTTTTTAAGTTGGGTCAATTATCCCCTATTTTTTTTACTACCAAAAAACAAAATTATCCCCTTTTTAGGTTAATGTTTGTTTAATTTAGATAATGACATTTAAAAAAAGCACATATTTCTTATTTAGTGGAGTGCTAGTCCAGATTCAATAACCAGGATTCTTTTTTTTTTTCCCAAAACTCTACTTAGTAAGGGTGTTAACTGGACAGGTTTGGGCTGGCCCAATTTATAAACAACATGACTCGAGTAGCCCGCTTATTAATCGGCCGGGCCAGATTTTGATTAGAAACCTAGCCTAACAGCCATTGAGCCTTAGTCTTTAAGCCCAAGCTTATCCAACTATGTACTCCGGTCGTGCCTAGAGTGGGCGGGTCATGTCGCAGGCTCTCTTAACTGTGGGTGCAACACCAGGTGTCAACGGTCTGGGTTCGGGCCGGCCTGAACCTACTAAGCCTGATTAACAAATGGTTCCAGCTAGGTGAACCCATTTATTTAAGCTCGGATTAGCCGACCTAAGAATGAAGAAGAGACCTAAGGATGTTTTAGAGTTTTTAAATAGTGTACCTTATTGAGCCGATAATGGACCACCAGGGCTAAGACACTAAGCCCAACCCCACCCGATTTAGTAATCGGACTGAGCCGGGCTACAGACCAAGCCAACCCATTGACACCCCCCTAGTTATTACTCCTTCAACATGTTCAAAAAAACAAAATTTTTAAAAATGAATGAATGATTGGCATTTATATTGATATTTTGTTATCCCTTTCCTAAAATATATGGATATACTAATCTTTGTCTTATTATAATTTTTATTAGTATTAGAAAATGGAAAATAGTCACCTCCTCGGTCGGTGACGCCATGAGGGCCATCTCGGCTCCCATTTTTCTTGCAATTTGTCCCCCTTCTAACCATGGTTAAGATTCATCCACAAGTTCACCCATCTACCCTTGGTTTTTTAAAAAATATAATAAAAAATCTTAACTAAAGAATTAAAATAAACTAACCTGAGTTAAAAGAGAATTAAAAGATAGGTTATGTGAGAGCGAGGAATAGTCCCCTCCTCGGCCAACAAGGGACTATTGCTCTTAGAAAAATCAACGTGTATTTTGAAGGAAAAATTGATGTTACATTTTAGTGATTGCTAGAAATTCTCGTAGGCACATGTCAGTCTCGATTTAGAATTATTGAGAAGATAAGTTCTGATTTGTATGTGTGGGCCCGAAATTGTGCCCCGGTTTAGATGGGCTCACATTTTCCGGCATCCATGACAAGAAAAAAAGGTAAATATGAGGCTTTTTTTTTCAACGACAATCGTAATTCGTACAAGGCGGCTAGCTTAAGCTTTTTTTTTTTTTTTTTTTTTGTAATTGTAACACGTACTAACACACTATACATCACACACAAAACACACATCTCAGGCATTTGTTACTTCAGTCAATGTACTTCTATCTATAATCGCGAACAGGTCCCAATAAGGAGAAAGGCTATCTATCAATGTACAATTTACATACACCCACTAAGTTACATATGGCCTCATCCAATTCTTCGGAAGAGCACTAGCAAGGTACCTCAAGTACTCTTACAAGGGTTTTTGATATGCTTTGTCTTCTCCTCCGTATGTGTGTGAAAGCTTGTGGTGAAGTGTAGCTCCGATACAAGGCACTTTCACACCTCAGTCCAAAACCTCTCTCAGTGAACCTAGCTTCTCAACAGACACACTCAGTTACTTCACCACGATCTTTACGAAGAATCCTACTATTTGCTTTATCGTACGTCAATCAAAGCATTGATTTGTATACACACGCTTAATAAGCATATACAGAAAATGTATTACGCCTTCAAATTGATGCTGGTGATCTCCTTACGAGCACCAACTGAAGTCCTATTTATAAACTGAGTAGTTTGCATATCAAAGCCACACCAAATCAATATATCCCAAGGTCCCACCCCACCAAAATGAGAGCTACACAGTGCCTGGCATAAGCAGACAGGTGAAGGTGTATAGTAAACCTTGTTTCTGCCACGTCATCAATAAAAAAAGGCTTCCTACGTGTGAGTCAATGACACCTCGTATAGCCCGTAAAGAAAAGACAAAAAAATATCTTGTGGCCGTCCAAGTTTAGAAAAGTTTTAAGACCCAAAAAAGGAAAATAAAGAAACATTTGATTGGTGATGGTATAAAATAGACCACCACTTATCCTGCTGACAGTACGTTCGATCGCCACTTGTCTTGCCGACTTAAATATCTTACGTCCCATGTCGACCTCCGTTATTTACCACATTGACCCCTATTTTCCTGTCACATCGTTTACAGCCTCCACGATGTCGACCGTACGGATGTTTTGGTTTTTGGAGATCGGTTTGGTCTTGGTCTGGCAAAACCAAAACCGTATTATCTTTGTTCAACGAGCAATAGCCAATAGTCACCTTCTCAGGCGAGGAGGGGACTATTCCTCCTCAGGGGAGGAGGGGATTATGGTTAAAAAATTAACCACTTCCGGTGGTTATTTTTTTTTTGGTTAATTTTTTTATATATAATATTTTCTAAAAATCAAGGATAGATGTGTGAATCCTTGGGTGACTAATTTTAATCACAATCAATGAGAGAAAAAAGGGGACACGTGGCCCCAAAAAAGTCTGACGAGACCGTAAGTCACCTTCTCGGCTCGAGGAGGTGACTATTTTCCATGTTCAACACCCAACATGTGACGATAAAAAAGAGAGAAGACGTTTCATTTTCTTCCATGATTTTTGATTTACCTCTATTTGATATCTTCTCAACTTTTTATTGCCACGTGTTGAAAGCCCACTGAGAGCAAGATGGTTTTGGCTCGGATCCCGTTTTAATGTGGGACTTAAAATTATTTACCGTTATAATCAGACATGTCTTGCGGTTCAACACGTGTCTCTTTTAATATTCTTTAATTGTGATTAAATTGGAGTTCAATTGTCTAATCTTAGTTTTTAAGAAAAAATATTTTAAAAATTAAAGGGACGTTTGATAAAACTTAGAATAAGAGTTTATTCATAATAAGACTGTTTGATAATATTATAATATTGTCTAAATATTTTAACAATAAATGATTTTACCACTTAATCAATAAATTATCTAGAGTTACTTTTTAAACAAGAACTTATTTTACTTATACTGAAAATGTTGACTGTCAAATCATTCTATCAATATAAATAGCTTTCAAACTCTAGAGCTTAAATAGAAAATAGATAATTTTGATCAAACACCCTTTAACTCTAAAAATTAAAGTTATTAACCAAAGTTAAAAGAAGATTTTTGTATTGCTCATGTCTTGGTACAACCAAAGAGAATTTCAAGTCTTTTAAAGTAGTGGGGCGTAGTGGGGCCACACGAGGCGAGAAATCCTCAAGTTGAACATATTTTTAGGTAAGGCCTAAGGGTAATGTTAACCTTTGATTGGGCTAATGAATTTGGTATGCTTTATGAGTTGGGATCATATTCGAACGCAATTGAACTCAGGGAAAGTTCAATCGTACCCATAGGTCAACAAAGGGTAGCCAAGTTCGCTACATGCTATAAGGAACTGAACGAACTCAAATTAGCTCATGATTCGGTTTGGATTGATTCGTGAAATTAAGCAAATCACATAGTGGTTTCAAAACAATTTTAATTTGTCAAAGTTTTCATTCAAATTCATTGATATTTTTCTTTAGATTCGGTAAATTTATATTTTGAGTTCAAAACTGTTCATAAAAAAACATTTTTATTATTTTTAAAATAAATATTCATAATATATTGTTTACATGCTGGAAGATATATTTTTTATAATATAATATGTAAAAGTAGCGAACCAAGCTAACGAACCAAATTAAAAAACCTAAGTGAACCGAAAAACAAATCATCTCATCCTACCCCTAGTGAATCGGGTTCACTCTAGAGTGGCGAACCGTGAACCAGAATTCGATCCGAGTGAACCAGGTAACATTGGGTCAACATGTGTTTCTTTTAATTCTCATTAACTATGGTTACGATTTACTAACTCTTAAGATTCAACAATCTAACTTTAGCTTTTATTTTAAAAAATTAATCCTATGGGTTAAAATTTCATTTCTTAACCAGGGTTAAAAGGGGCTCTAGAGTGCAATTGAACTCTCTAAGTTCAATCATAATTGGACAAGATCCCTACTCATCATTCACAATATATTTTTTGGGTAAATTACCCGGACCTCTCTAGAGGTTTTGCG